AAAATACAGCCAAACAATAGAATTATTCTTCATCAGAACTGCTGCTAAAATTTACAAGAGTAATCAAGTATGATAACTCTGCTTTGTTGAAAGAAACTGTGTAACAGACTGAAGTGTTTAAACAAATCCAGCCAATCTCAAAACAAGAATTACTTTCAATAATGGGAATCAAACTTTAAATACAAAAAGGTGATAAGGAGATCACGTATTGAACTGAACACCATTAGAGCTAAATGTAGTCTACAGTGACAAAGTTAACTAACTTAACTATTCCTAACTTCAAACAACAACTGTACTTCCCTTCCCATACTCACCTAAATAGGAGATTTTTGAGCCAAGGCAAAAAGGGTATCTACTATTTTAGATTATTTGAGATATTCTCCAGTTGACAGAGAGATGGGGTACTGGCTGAACTAACGTACAAAAAAAAAAAATCATATAATATTACAATCATCACTTATTCTCAGCTAGCAGAAAAGCTAGCTTTCATGGTGCAATCTAAAATGGAAGCCATGTTTTGTGTCCTGATGAGTTTATAACCTTTACACATAACCGTGGACAGTACAGATTTTAGATAGTACTTTTACATTATGGGCATGAAAAGCATCTTAAACAATTCTATATTAAGTAAACTTTACCTTTAGAGGCCTGGGTCGATCTGGTTCCTTCCAGCGTAGATATAATTGCCCAGCAATCGACAGACCAACAAAAAACCAGTAACTGAAACTGAAGTAATTAATAAGCTTAAAGACATCTTCTACAGCCAGGTAAATGAGGGTCATAGTACACTGTCAGAAAAAAAAAAAAAAGAGTGTGATGAACAACAAAAGTTTGAAACTTATTTTAATGCAAAAAGCAGCATATAAAGTAACACCATCTTTCACTTCTTAAGTGTTCAACATGATTTTATGCCTGTCTCAGTGAGTCACTCTCCTACAAATGCCATGGACAACAGAAAATCTGAGGTTCTCTTTCATGCTATCACCTAAACAATTACTTCTGAGAATTCCCACTGTTGAGCTTTATTGACACTTCCCATGGCGACAGTGGTCCGAGCATAACACTTCTTATAGTTTGGCAATGATTAAGGGAAATAATTTCTCAGTTATGTGCTCCTTGAGAAAAATGTATCAGAAGACTGTCAAATGTCCTTCAAGTGATTTTATCAGTATGTGAGATAACATAGCAGCTGGATTTTTACTACTGATAGTATCTTCACCCTCAGTTTATTCAGCATTTAGAAACCATATACTACGTAACCTGTTATTTTAATCTATATTTAGCTTAGAGAAAACAGAAGTCTGATAATGTATCTAACATGACAGTAGCCCAGCAGAATAATTTGATCATTTTAATTCAATTTCAACTCTCTGTGTAGTTAGGGAGAGTATTCATGCATAGAGACAATGAAACTCTCCAGAGGCTGTTACCATGTGATAGTGACATAGGTTGGGGTTGACCTGCTGGAAAGCAGCTCTGCCAAGAAGGACCTGGGTGTCCTGGTGGACAAGTTAAGCATGAGCCAGGAGTGTGGCCTTGTGGCCAAGAAGGCCAATGGTCTCCTGGGGTGCATTAGGCAGAGTGTTGCCAGCAGGTGGAGGGAGGTGATCCTGCCCCTCTCCTCAGCCCTGGTGAAGCCACATCTGGAGTACTGTGTCCAGTTCTGGGCTCCCCAGTCCAAGAGAGACATGGCACTGCTGGAGAGAGTCCAGCGGAGGGCTACGAAGATGATGAGGGGACTGGAGCACCTCTCCTCTGAAGAAAGGCTGCAAGAGCTGGGCCTGTTTAGCCTAGAGAAGAGAAGACTGAGAGGGGATCTGATCAATGTGTACAAGTGTCTGAAGGGAAGGCATCGAGAGGAGGGGGCCAGACTTTTCTCCATGGTGCCCAGCCACAGGACAACAGGCATAAACTGAAACACAGACAGTTCCACCTGAGCACGAGGAAAAAGTTCTTTCCTGTGAGGGTGACTGAGCAGTGGCATAAGTTGCCCAGAGAGGTAGTGGAGTCTCCTTCCCTGGAGATATTCAAAACCCGCCTGGATGTGATCCTGGGCAATGCGCTCTAGAGGACCCTGCTTGAGCAGGGAGGTTGGACTAGATAATCTCCAGAGGTCCCTTCCAACCTTGGCGATTCTGTGATTCTGTGATTGAACAGAATTTCCTCTGCCCTCTCACTCCAGCTTATGGAAAAACACAAATTTCCTTTAGGCAATTCATAAAGTCATACCTGAACAGCTGAAAAGAAAAACTGTAATATCTTACATTGAAGAGCAGTGCTGGCACAGGTGTGAACCTCTGTATGTGGATCATAGACAACAGATCAGGAAGGTGACCTTCTCGAGATCCTACAAAAAATAGCCTGAGGGAAGAGGGCAGGGGAAATCAGAAACAAATCTTAAGGCTATAGGTGAGAGCAAACGCATACAGAGAAAGAAAACAGCAATACCAGTCAAAATCAATATTTATACCAGGGAATTTCCATCCTTTATACCAGAACACGTATTCAACCCTGCTTATAAAGGTATACTGTAATATAATCATTAAAAGATATATAAGCTTTTGAAAACATCTTGTTATTAACATCTATTTTTAGAAAACAATGCTACAGGTAAAATAGAAAGTTTCTACAGTGACTGAAATAGATTTCTACTGTTAAAAAAATTCTAAAAGCTAGCAGCCCTGAAAACATTCTACTTCATAGCAGAATAGTTTTCAAGAACAACCAAGAGTTTATCAGGTCTCAAAAGAAGAGCTCACTCAGTCACATGCTCAAAAAAACAAACCTACTATTTCACTATCAATTGTATATTGTTCTATATTGGCTACTTTACCGGATCGTGTTCACATTTGTTTTCAGTTCAAATACATTGTGCATACATTCAGTGGACAGGGAGGATGTTAAAATGTCTGATAAAATCCATTCAAGACTTGCACTAGTCACACGCATAATCATTGCTTAGAGGAAAAAATTCTATGCTGTATCCTAAGCTTTATGACGGCAGTTTAATAGCACTAGTACCTTTAAAACCTTTTACTTGGGTGAGGAAAAAAAAAAAAAAAAAACGCAAAAACTTAAGAGATGTTAAGATTAAAAAAGACAATAAATTTCCAGTAAATATTTCTAAAAGTAAGAACTAGCCAGAGTTACTGAATCTAATGAAATGGAAAATAATTCAATTCAAGTAATCAGAAGGTATGAGGGCTCACCTCACAGTCAACATCCCTTTCATCCTTCATTATACTCTGCATACAACTAAGAAACTTTTGGGCAAGCAAGGTGATGTTAAGGGCATATGTACACACAAACAGAGGTTTATTTAGGTCTATTATTTTATTGTGGCTACTCGTTATAGGTCCTGACATGAAAGTCAATTTGCCACTCTTATAATAGGTATGTGTAATAGTAATACATTTTATGAGAATACTTATGAACATTTGTCAAACAGAGAGATTCACTACCTTGATGATGCTAGAATTGAAGCATTAAGTCCACCAAAACAAGAAAAGGCTACAGCAATGGGAATCGTCCAGCTGAAGATACCAAATACCTGGTCAGCAAACGTCTAATGAAAGAGGGGAAGGAAAAAAAAAAAAAGAAGAAGAAAGGGAACATTAAAATATCTGCAACAAAGCATACATAAAACAATGAAATAAATACTGTTTTAAGTTTGTATGGAAAAATAACAGTATAGTAGGGACATTCCATGATGCCACACCAGAAAAGCACACAGCTTTTCTTTTTTTTTTTTTAAATCTACTTATAGATTCCAAGCAAGTACAAACTACTTCAGTAAAGTACTTGACCTTGCATTTTCTGTTCACAAAAATAATGCCCAAAAAGGAAAACCAAGTGCTCTTAGAATTTTCTCACCCATCCTGATACATTATCCAACTTCACTGCAGCATTCTAGTATAACATACTGATTGTCAAAAATCAATAAAGGTAAGTCTAAAGATAAAAATATGATTAGGTATCCTAAAAGGGAAGTCTCATATTGCAAATGACAAACATAGCCATTATCAGACCTACTGTTTATGGACACTCTTCTTGCCATCTCTCTACTTGGTTTTCCTACACAACCTCTTTCTTCCCCACCCGTGAGCACCACTAGCAGGTCCTTTGGGCTCTACTCTCACAACAAGACATGGCAACCAACACAGTAAGTGCTTTATCAGATAGTCCAACTCATTTGTTACTATTGCTAGACAATACTGCAGGCCACTGTGGTGACTTTTCACAACAAAGCTCTGAACCAAGAAGCCAGGAACATTAAAGTTTCACAGTAAGTAGTAAGAGTCATTAATTGCCAGTGACCTGAGAAATATAATGCAAGTACATAATAATTCACAAGATATTGTCCTGGTCAATTCTGTTTAGCCTCCTGGGTGGGGGAAAGAAGATGGATTCTTACAATATCAAGCATAAGAACACTCAAAAAAAAAAATCAAGAAATTCAGTACATGAAGACTGACAGCTGTTGAAAATCTTGTCTCTCAGTCTGAACATTGTACCTTTAACATGTTTGAAGTTAAGCAAAAATCTGCTAGTGCTGTGTTCAGAGAGGGGCAAAAAGCCTTCCTATCCCCATGTTATTTGCTAATAGCTAAGCTACCTCCACGATTTCTCTTTCTGAAGCAAACTAACAGTCACGGTAGCAAAGGGATGGTGTCTGCATTAGACAGCACTAAATCACTATTTATAGAAAGGTACCTATTTTTACTTACAGATAAATGGTGTTCACCTGAAATTGATAACACTGTTTCTGCAAACCACATAGATTTTGCAAACCACATAGATTTTAGAATATACACAATAAACATTTTACATCTCAGCAGGCAGCAGTCACCTAAATCTTTTTATGAACTTTTCTCTAAGTCACTTTCTCAGCTCTCCTCTGCTTTATCATTTTCAAGAACATGGTGACCCTTAATCATTAAAGCATACATACTAGTTCAGCTTTGTACAGGTCTGTCTTTTCTATTACGAAAGTCTTCTTCAAATCAGCTTTTAACCACGACAGCTATTTTAACAATCCCGGGCCTCCCCTTTAAACCACTGTACTTCATCTTAAGATTTCTGAACTAAGAAGTTCAGTCAAAGGGGACCGATATTCAAAACTGGCCTTCATTTGTAGCACACAAAGCTATCTGGATTTAAAGGCAGATAAACTTTGATTTAATTAACCCTGGAACAAGAAATGACCTTTATTTGTAGCATACAAAGCTATCTGGATTTAAAGGCGGACAAACTTTGATTTAATTAACCCTGGAACAAGATCACCAAAACTAGTGCAGTATGATCTGTTCGCTAAATGTTCTGGTAGGCCAAAAAAGCCTAAATACATTGACTTTTTGTGAAACAAGTGATTTTTATGAGCAAAACCCTGCACGTAGTTTCAATCTTCTAGCTGCAAGTCGCAGAAGTTTCACTGCCATAAAACAGAAGCTTGCCCATTTTAAGTTTCCCATCCTTTTCTGGGTTGACAGAGTGCTTTGTTCAGCACATTACATAGTTTAAGGGTCAGAATCCAACTCTGCTTAGCTACACACTATCATCTACAATAAAAATAAAAAAATTATTCCATCCTTGCAGGCAATTTAGTTTAGCCTCAGTAAAGGCAGATAGGATTTCCTGCTGCTAAAGGCCAATGCAAGAGTCCATAATCATTTCAAGAGGAACCTTGCAAAGAGGTTCACAGTTAATGCAGCAACTCCATTAGTCATCCTGATTCTTATAAAAGCACCTTTCCCTCCCAGCGCCCAAACTGTTTTAGATGGTTTACATGCATTAGTGTAGCTTCCCTCATAGTGGAGCTTCAACAGACGAGAAGAACACACACACACACACAAAGAACAAGTGCACAAATTCCCATAGAAATTATAAAAACTAACAGAAGTATAAAAACTAACAGAAGTATAAATGGAAGAACTAAACCATGTATGAATTCAATTTCATGCAGACACCAGAACATCCATTTAGCAAAAGACCATGCCATAGGAATTGTGTTCTATGTACCATGTAATGCCCATTTCCAGTCCATTGAAACTGGAAAAAAAAAAATCTAATAATTTACATTACTGTACATAAAAGATTTCTGCTGCCTAAGAATAAATAATTACTAGAAGCCATAGTGCTTCTCTCACATCCTTATTGGATTTGAAATAAAAGCAGCTCTGAGAAAACTGGTCTCCCAAAGCAGAATGTAATTCATAATGATCCAGTGCAAGAGTTTTGACAATTTGTCCAGAGCAAGTGAGAACGAGGAGGAGATGCAAATTCTATTAGGCAACTGTTACAACATCCTAAAGGAAGATTTAAACCTGGACTGCCTTACTTCTGAAGCCAAACAGCAAGCAAAATTACTAGACACCAACTATAAAACTGCTAGAGGATTCCTTTTTTAATAAGCAAAGGTAAGATACAGAACTCACTTCAACAAGGCGTTAGAGAATTAAGATGGTTAGTAAGGTTGTCCGCAGGATAAGCATTTAGATAAGTAATATTAATCAGCTAAGGTTAAAGAAGAGAGGGAAAACATAAGGATGTAATCTTACGCTGTAGAACGCATATCAGCTGATAAATCATTTGGAATATCTCTTTCCCCGGAAGCCAGGTTATTGTTCGTCCCTTGTAAGCATCTTCCATTTCCTTTTGAAACATCTAGTAGCGGGCCAGTGTGGAATGCCAGATTCTGAACTAACTCAAAGGCCAACTCTATCCAGTAATGCAGATCTTATCTTTCTAAGATGTCCTAAAGTTGTTTCACACATCCTAGAAAATGGCAGTCAGTCACATGAGAGTAAAATCCAGAAAAGAGTTCAGGCAGTTATGTCACTTCCAGAAATTACACACAGATGAAGATGTTACAGAATCAAGGTGTTCCAGATGCAGGCTTGTGGCTACAGGGTATGTTACAACTGCTGGCCCAGCTCAAAGTCTAAATAATTATTTTCTGTAGATCTGTACTAGTCAGCCTCTTCGACAAAGAATAGCCTTTTAGTTAGATGAACTTTTTAATAATACTGCAGTTGGGATTCTTGAGAGAGCAAGGAGCGGAGCATTAACTTCAAGAGCGTAACTTCTACTTAAGTGAGATAAGACAAAGAGTATTTTAATTTAGGATGACCTAGGAAGTTCAGTTTGGTCTGCCAAGTAGATCTGTTTAAAAAAATCTTTCAGCAAAACAAAGCTGTTCAGTTGACACATACCTGAAGTTTGGTTAAACTTCCAAGTGATATTCACTAGCTTAACACGACAAGTACAGATCCAAGCATCTATGCAGGTGTTTTCTGACAAGGTATCACTCTTACTTCCAACATAAGAATTTGCCAAGCTTTTGTATTACTACTGAGACAAAAAACACATTTTTACCTTTCGGAGTACGCATTTCGGAGTACGTACATTCCCATTTTAACAGATGCCAAGAAACAAAGATCTCTATAGTGTTTCTCGCAGAAAGTGTTACCAAAGTGTAAGTAAAAGTGGCCCCAAAAAGCATTCAACTCTGTGTGCATGTGTAAGAGGGTTATTTTGCATAAGAAAGACGGGCAGAGAAAAAATACAAAAAGCAATCAAGTTATCACGCACACAGACTACATGCACTGTACGAAGAGGATAAAAAGGGGGAGGGAGAAGAGTTAGTGGTTGCTTTCTGCTAAAACCATAATCATACAATCATGGATCCTCCACAAACGAGCTAGTCTGGGGCTCTGAACTGAGCATCTGACCAGTTCCTCCTTAACTACCACTACTTCTGGGAGTAGTGAAGTGCAATTATTTAAAAAAAAACAAAACAAAAAAAAAAAAGACCTCGCAACAGGGGAAAGAATAGAGCATTTGCAGGGATATGTGGAGGATGACAGAGGAGCCTACCTGGAGGCAGCTATAGCAGAAGCATTTAGTCCACCAAAACAGGAGAAAGCCACCACTATGAGAATGGATTTCTTCTCAGGTTTCTTCTGAGAAAGTCTAAAGAGCAAGAAGGATTAAGAGATTAAATTGTCATCTTAGCTGCAGTCTGACATGTCCTGTAGTCCAGGCTTGAACTATCACTGCTTCTAACAGTTAGGAAACAGTAAAAGAATTAAGTGGCTTATACAGCACTTCCAATTACAGGCCAAGTCCTTTTATGCCCTCCCCTCCGCAGGACAGGTAAGGTATACATGTATGCACACACAGACACTGTAGAAAGACGTGCCCTTGGAATTGTTTCCCTTAGTTCTGTTTTTTTTTCCCCAAATCATCAACAGGGAATAATAACGAAGAGAGAAGTAAGGAGCTCCAGCCATGCACCTTGCAGTTGAATTGTCCTCACTTCTTCATGACTAGAGTGTTGCATGTTACTCCCAGAAGAACAACAAACAACTAAATTACAGCTTTGTTTCAAGATATGAATGGCTGATTTACTATCTTTTATTTTTATTTTGTTAGTTTGATTTCATGATCATCAGCTAGTAATATTGAAACAGTTTGCAAAAACGCTTTTTTTTTTTTTTTTTTAAAAAAAAGATCCAAGCAACAGTTTCGTACAAACAAATTAAACTGGAAGCAACAGGAATTACC